ACAGTTGTGAAACTGTGTTTTTCAACATTAACAGAATATCGACAAAGTTTTGTGCACATTTGCAATGGAAACAGAGTCTGTCAGCGGTGTCTGTGTGAGAGTCAGCACTGAAAAGGTCAASCAGCAACAGTTTCATCCTGTGATTCGTACAGATAGAAACACAGCAAACAATCTGATYACAAAGACAGACGATCCAACCTCTGATTTTGAGGACTCAACTAGATTGTGTCAAATATTTCTGCTTGGAACAACAAACGTGTCACTGAAGGTTCAATACAGGAATCAAAGCTTCAAAACAAACTTTGAGCTTTAATTTCTGCTCAACTCCAGTTGGTTTTAGGAACCTCTTAATTTGTACCTAAACTCCGAAAATCCAACCTGATATCCTCGTCAGCGAGCGAAAGAATAACTCCTGGAAGCCGAGCGGTGAGGTTTTCAAAACTCAAGCAACTCTCTCATTTGCACACATCAGCTCTGACCGATGCCTGGAACCGAGCGCACGCTTCGTTTTTAAAGCCGCAGGCAGTTCAAGAAGCCCCGTTTTCAAACAGCCGAGTGAAAATTTGCTGCTGATGACAGGTCATGTGAAAAGAAAGTGTTTTTTTTTTACTTTGTGTTTGCATCTCAGCGGGCAGCCGGAGCTGGGCCGTAATCCCCCCCATCCCAACGTGCACATCACTCAGTGAATTTCGCCTGTTTGGAAACGGGCATGGCGGTTGGGCCGCTGCCCGTTTCACGTCCTTAATTAATACCAACCTCTGCACCCCCTTCACAAATTACAGCGTGCACCGCACGAGGCTGGCTCGACGCAGAGGCCTGCAATAAAACGGCTCCAATAAAACCGTGGCGGTAGGTCAGAGGACCCGAAGCTCAGACGTGATCACGCGGAGGCGGCGTGTTATTGGACGTGGGCGCTGAAAGAGGGCTTAAGATGTGCCGTCCAGGTGGTGGATTCTCTGAGGGCTTCTCCGCTGAGAGAGAACATCCAAGGACAACCAAGTGAGCATTTCAGAGGAGTGGASGGGAGGAACCGGCCACCCCACAGTGCCTTGCTGGCAGTAGGTAACTCTGGAGCCAAGGTGGAGTGAGAAAGGAAGGGAGGAAACTCCTAGAGAAACCATGAAAAATGTGGAGCATGAAAATGTCTCCCTTGGTTTATGGCAGTGCAGCGCCGCGTCCAAGAGAAACACATCTTTAAATTTAACTTGAGATGTCTTTTTTTCTCTCTCTCTCCTCAGTCTTCTTCTCCTTCCTCCACTCCCAACTTCTGGCAAAGGCTTGGTTTTGAAAGCAAAGCCAAGATGCTTGGAAACATTTTAAAAAAGCTCTCCATAATGTGGCTTTTTAGAAATGTGGCAACAAGCTCCTGAGTGAGGGGAGACTTTTTCAACACTGCTGGACATGTTTTGTATGAAACCTTCTTGGAAAAACACATGATTTACTCACTAACAGGAAAAATAAAGTGTTAAAGGGGGAATATTTTAAAAAGTATTTTTCAGTGTAAAGACGCCACTGTGGCATCTGTTGCAGCGTTTCTCCATAGCAGCTTCAAACACAGGCTCTTCTTGTCTAAAACGCCATAAATAAGACTTTATGGCTGTTATTTCAGTGAATYGGATTAAAACGAAATGGGCGTCTGGAAACTTTTTGGCGCAGCTTTGATTTAAAATATGAAGCGTGTAATAATATTTAGTTAGTCTCATGAGGAAGTCATCTCTCACAACCATGATTGAGCGCTCATTTAGGAGAGGAGCAGATTTTTATAAATCAGAGTTTGATGGAGCAAACATACTGTAGCTCTGATAAAAACAACACAAGCAGCTGAAATGTTTCTTTGATGATGAACATTTTGAGCCACTCTGCCTAAAATCCTGCACCTGGGAGTGCGATGATGACCTGTTGACCTGCGCAGGCTGTCGGGCCTAAAATTCCTCAAAAAGTATTCAAATTAAATTATACTGCTCTTGACTCCTCTGGAATAAAATCACAATCCTAGTCTCTATGTAAAGCTAACAATCTGCTTATTTAACTTAAGTCATCATCATTTTTGTAACTGTAACTAGTATTTAGGTGAAGTTAAAATACAATAAACTCTCACTTAAAATTTTRCAAGACATTTTAAGTGTTCCAGAACATGAAGGGAACGATGTATTAAGGAAAAAGAATTAGGTTAAACTATGGGTTCCCAACTATTAATGGTTTAAATTTGGTAACAGKAGCATCAAAGTTGAAAAGTTCAGCATGTCCATCATACTTGGACACATCTCCAGAAAATGTCCAAACTGGACAAACATTTACAAATACTGTAATTTTTTTACGTTTCAACACAGAGACTTCAGGGCACAAATAAAAAATTAAAAAACATAAATCACATCATACCATCCATATTTACTCACAGCATGATTAAAGTACAAAAATTTAAAAATATTAATCAGAAATATGAACAATGTGGGCAACAGGCAGAAAATCTCCACCAGTAAACAGCCAAAACACGGCAAAAAAAAAAAAACATAAACAAATAAGTACTCACTTTTTCAAAGCATTAAAATTCCCATAGCTTATAAAAATACCAGCAACAATAAATAAATAAATAAATAAATAAATAAATAAATAAATAAATAAATAAGCATTTTTACTTACTTTTGATGCATAATTTGTCCTCTTTCTGACCAAAAACGATCCAAAATGGCGTTTGGAAAAAAGGTATAATTCTTTTGTGATATTTCCTGGCCACAAAAATCACTCTTTCTTGCCTTGAAGCACTCGGAACACTTCATAACAAATATTTTCTTCTTTAACAGCCTATTTAGTCAACTAACTATCCAAAATAAACCATAAAAAATGCCCACTGACGTCAACACTCCACAGACAAAATGGCTGCCACGTCAGATGGCTGTGTCTCAGTTCATTTCTGTCTCCACACAAAGTCCACGCCCCCTAAAGCTGCATATTGAATAAAAGGTTACTTGATTGGTTACACAGCCGTGGTATCAGAATGAAGCTGATTGGCCGATTTCACAGTCAATCAATTGTAGCACAGGTGGGACATGAGGAACTTGCCACACATTTTAGACTCTGGAGAGTCAATAGACGAACTCAGTTGGTCAAAAAAGGTGTCAATCAAAAGAAGACAACCAATCGAATCATTTGAACAACATATGTAAATTCAAAGTCAAAGGATGGATGGAGTAGATGGAGACTGGGGTGTAACCAGGAAGGRATGAACATTATAAGCTCAATTCATTTTTATAGTAGAAAGAAGTTGTCAGTGTTTTTGCAGAGTGTCTGTTCAGAGCAGAGCTCCCATGTTTGTTTTGATTCAGCCCAAGGTTGTACGCTGAGGCCTGTGCTGCTGAGAGCTGAATGAACCTGATTGGAGTCAGAAGATTGAAAATAAAGTTTTGAAGAAGAAACCCAGCTGAATCCTGTTTATTCGGACATACCATATTGAACAACGCATATTTTTCCAACAGATGGATGGA